CTTGGCATTTTATTTTCATAAAGAAAGGTAATTATAGATATAGACATGGGTAAATTAATTGCTCTCTATTTGGTGGGATTTATTTGGTTCTTTGAAGAAAGCAAATTTAAATACATTTGAGTCACTTATGTGAAGCAATGAACAGTGGGTCCTAGCAATTAATTTCAGCAACTAACTTTTATTGGATAATAGGATAAATATTGATATATTTAATTAGTACTTCAGCCCTTATAATGTTAAAAAGGCTGGTTTGATAAGGTTAATAATAATAAAAAAAAATCAAAGAGGCAACCTCCTAAAGAAAGAAATATATGGAACCTGACGAACTTTCTTCGGAGGAAGGAAATTAACTATCTGCTACTCTAGACCACTGGAAGCATGAGATATTTGGGAAATTTTGGTTGAGAAAATCCGATTCTTGCTAAACCCAAAGGAATTAAGAGTTCAACTATTCGACAACAAAAATTGTGAAAATCTCCCTAGTGTTAAGTCCAGATTGACTTGGTTCTATCGATTGGGTCTCCGGGAACTACTATTAGCCTAAGAAGCAACAAGGTATGTGAAGCTAAACTCCTTTCGCCTTTGAGGTATCATCCATGTCACGTGATTCTTATATAAAGGTCAAATTAGTTCACTTAAAAAACGAAAGTAAAACCTTCATGTTGGTTAGTTACTTGATTAGTTGAACGACCATTAGGATTAATACTATGTTATAGATCTTATAACATTATTCGATAAAATATAGCGAGGGGCGGGTATTCATAGTTTCTACTTGACACATTCGGGCAATGTGTTTCTGTGCACAAGATTGAGACCAACCCACTATAGTGAGCCTAAATATTGTGGCGTACCACCCTTGTGGCATCATTTGTATTTGGAGTCGGTCGGAAATCTCATATACTAGTTCCCCCTTACTTGAGCCAATACATGGCACATATGGCATCGGGTAGACCCTCATAGTGAGCCCACGATGGGTGCACCTCGTACCAGACTGCGATTATAGCTTATGCATAAAAACATAGAGATGAACTTTTAGGAAACTCATGGCGTATAGTTAATGTGAGTTGCCTTGATCGGCCATCACGTGAACATTTGCAATAAAAATATTTAAAGTACTCCACCTGGGAAAACTATGGGTATCATGATATTTTGATCATTGCTTTAGATATTATATTGTGAGTCAATTAACTCAGTGCGTAGGGTACTGTTGTATATCTTATGTTTACTCCTAATATACTCTTAGTTCTCTTTATTTAATAAATGATTAATATGAGCTTTCCTATCTATCGTTCTCTTATTCTGTTTGCTCTTCCTGCCAGTACATGTTTTATATGTACTGACGTCCTGAATATGGGGCACTACATTTCTTTGTAAATGCAGGATCAGGTTCTCAGGGAAGAGGACATCCACGTTAGATTCGCTTGTGACTTCAGCTGATGTTTTGGTGACCTCCATCTCTATCCAGAGCTAGCTTGTATCTAGTACTTTTGATGATATGCATAAGTTGCTAGTTGTATATGCCGAGGTCTGTCTCGGCAAGTTATTAGCAACACTACAAGAAAAAGCTTTATTTAAGACCAATATTTAGGGACGAGTTAATAATTCCGTCTCTGAAAGTACACATATTGGGACGAGCTTTTATTTCGGTCTTTAATTCCATATGTTATTGTGAAGGTTCTAAATCTGGTCTCTAGAAAAAGTAGTAACTGGTCCCAAATTAAAAATTAAGGGGTCTTGTGAAATATATTGAAAGCGGGAACTTCATATGTTCACCAAAATTGGCCGCCTAAAAATTCATTATTCATTAAAATTCTCTAAGGAAAAGAAAACAAAGAAAAGACACTTCAGTTTATTTCCCAAAAAATATCGTGAAACCAAACAACCCTAGCAGCGGATCTTCCCAAGCTAACAACCATCTTCCCTTACAACGATCTTAGTATATCTCTCATCTAATAATCTGTGTTTTCTCAAAACAGAGAAAGCACATGTCTTCCTAGCAGCAAACGCAGGCTAGGTCTCATCGATCAGTGTTTCATCTGTGTTTTCTCAGAACAGAGAACTGCCTAGCAGTGATCTCCACTGAATATATATCTTCTATTCACTCGGATCTCAGGTATGCCTCCACTTCTACGAGTTGATTTGATTTTTTATGTAAAGTCAATTTTCTATTTGTTTTGTTCGAGTTGTAACTCGTCTTGTTTGAGTTATTGTTCTCTAAGACTAGATGCTGATTGTTTTGTTAAAGAAGATTTAGATTTGTAGTGTGATATGATCCCAAAAATGAAGGGGATTGATTAGTCCTTAATGAAGTAAGTGTTCCTAAAGATTAAGAATAATGAACTAAACTTGAAAAAAAAGCACTAACAACTCAATGAGTTAAAACAATATTGAGAGATAATATAGAGAGAGTTCTGTTCAAGTTGACAAATCTGTATGAATTACAAGTGAACATAACTCTCTCTTGTAGTTGCAGAATGTTACAAATGAGACAAGTGATTGCAGAATGTTAACAGAGCAAGTGAGACAAGTGATTGCAGAATGTTACAAATGAATAAATGAAACAAAGATTAGTTTCGTTTGGGTCTGAAACTGATGAAATATGTAAAACACAATAGAACTGATGCAAAATGACCTCCTGTGGTGCTGCACATAGAAGATTGAAAGACTGATAGTTTCGTTTGGGTCTGAAACTTGGAAAATTTGATAACTTTGAAGAAGATACATTCTAATAGTTGTTTAAAGCATTCTTTCAATTTTTTCTAGTTGGTTCTCTGATTTATGTGTACTTGTATATCAGCTATGTATCCTCTTCTGTGAGTGTTTTTTCCTTCTCTAACTTCTTATAGCATATATAGTGTATAGTGTGTTCCTAAAGAATCTGTCATATTTTGACGATGAAATTAACTCGAGCTGATGAAAGATGAAGAAAGCAATAGAACTGATGCAAATTACCTCTTGCATATGATGTACATAGTAGGTAGAAACAACGATAGTTTCATTTCGGTTTCAAAACTTGGAAAACTCAAGATTTTTCAAGAAGATACGTTCTAATAGTTGCACCATTTTTTTTTCTGTTGTTGTAAAACTGAATCACTAGCTGTTTTCTGTTTGTTAAACTTTCTGGTAAGCTTCCTCTTTTGGGAGCTAATTTTTTTTTCTCTCTATTTGATTTGTTCGAGTTACACTACACTTGTTTGAATTACTCTTCTTCTCTGAGATTAGCTGGTCAATTTTTTTGAAGTATATTCAAGTTTGTAGTGTGATATGATCCCAAAAATAAGGGGATCAGCCCTAAGAGAAATGACTGCTCCTAAAGAAACAAAAAGTGAGCTACTCTTGACCAGAGGCACCCATATGTAATGAGTTAAAACAGTGTTCAGAGAGAAGATATAGGAATTTGTATTCGAACTAATAGACATGATTTCTCTTAATACTACATTGTTGCACATGATTCTTGTTTTGCGGTGGGGATCATGGGATTGATTTCTCCTTTTGATTATTGATAATTCATATTGTTAAAAACTCATATTCTTGATTACTTTGATTCTATCCTTCAATTCACTAGTAATTATCTGAAAGACTACTTTTATTTTGTTCTTCAGTTCACTGGATAGAAAGTTTCCTTATAATTTTTCCACCTTTGGCTCTTTTTACAGGTTCAATATGTTAACTGAAAATGTGGACGGATCAAGAATGAAAAGTACTATCGCATTACCTACATATGACATCACTTGTATCTACTGAATGACCACTGATTTTTTTGCTGACCAAGTAAGTGTAAGGCTGAACTCTTAGGATACTAATAATGGTTCTCCATGTCCTAGATGTAATGGTATCCCTACTTCTTGTGTTGATGCAGTCTGTGCAAACTCTATAGCATTCTTATATTCATTCAAACGTTGTTGATTTACCTGAGTTGTCACAAGTGATTTGAATTTGATTTACCTGTCTAATCTGTGCAAGTGATTTGAATTTGATTTACCTGTGCAATATGTACAACCTGTGCAAGTGATTTGAATTTGAAGAAACTAATGGTGCCAAGTGATTTGAGTGCTTATTAGTTCCCATATGTTCTTCATTGTGATTTCCTGAGCCTTGCAGACCATTCACTGTTTGGACCTGGTTGTGTTCAGGTCGACTATCCTCTTTTCCATTCAATTCATTTTGAGATTTAGAACAACCATCTGCTTGTTCAATGAGTATCTCACAGTCGTTGTTGGATTTTCTTATTAGTTCGATTTAATACTGCTCCTCTAGTAAGGACTCTACCTGCCCTTCCATTCCTTTCTACTTCAATTAATCCACCTAAGGTTCATCGAGATAATTTTCCTTGCCTATTCCAACTCTTCTTTTGAAATAGTTATCGCCATCGCTTCAATTTTTTGAATCTTCGAAGTGTTGGATGATTAATTCATGGATGAAGAGTCGGTGGCTGTTCGTTCACCTTTATAGAGCCAGTGATTGGAATTGTTCTCAGTAGTTTCTTTATGTTCCCTGCATTAGTGAGAGACAATTTAAAGATCACTGCACATAGAGTTTTCCTCTGTGTGCGAACATCTCTTTTTTCTGCACAAATATACATAATGATACTCCTTAACATAAATGTTTTGTGATAGAAAAATCACTCATCAGATTGCATCTTATGTTTTTCACCTTTTTCTAGCAGTATAGGCAGGGGCTGTTTTTCCTCTTTGTTTCTGGCCTTTATTCCTCAGTATGTTTTCTTCGTCTACATCTGATGTGATAAGCCTGTTGTTACTGTGACTTTGACCAGTGGTTACCTCATCTGATTGTATATTTTTCTTATCTTCATATGTAATAGGTAAAACTTCATTCAACTAAATGTTCTTGATCTGCATTTATCTTGGTGGCTTTTAATCAACATCCTTAGAGTTGGCCTCATTCGGGTTGTCATTTTCTTGCTGTGCATAGTCTACGGTGTCAGCCTTCAATATATAGTTCCCTTAAATTTGATGCAATCACTGTAATGCAATTTGTAGATGTTTCAGACTTGTGGCACTCTCAAGGATCAATTTGAGATTGTTTGGCTCCTACAAGGATTAAGAATTGGAAGAAAACAATAATAACTTGCTTGTTTCCCCTGCTACACAGACAACATGGTTCTTTCTCCTGAAACCTTTATATCTTGATTGTTAAATTCCTCTACAACAGCCTGTTTCCCTTGAAACATAATATAAATCTTCTTGATGGAATTTTTTTCTATTTTTACTAATCTTTTGTCATTGAAATTCTGTTTTCGTTATAGATTTTGATTCTTGGTTTATTAATCTTTTTTTTAATGTGTCTATTTGCTGCTTTAAGTAGGTATTATTTGAAATATGACAGCTACTAGATTTCTACTTTTGAAAGATCTAAAGAACAATTCAACATTCAGAATCATATAGAAGGCTATAGGCAATGCTGTTGTTATTAGACAGAAACCACAGTTCAACATTAAATTATAGACCTTAAGCATGAGACTATGATTCTTAATTATGTAAATCCTCTTTGAAACGTACGAAGTGTTGATTAGTAAACTGAATTACTAATGTTTGTTCTACTTTCGACAACAGTGCATGAATGCTGCTAACTTGAGAAACAAACAAGACTACTCTTCACATAAATCTGATTCAACCATTTACATGTAGAGAGTTTCACTGAAAACCTCACTAGATTCCCAAATCCCTAGTTCCTTTTTATCTTCTTTTGCTCAGTAGAACTGTCACGACCCAAGCCTAGGGCCTAGACGTGACATGGCGAATGAGGAACCCGAAGGAACCCCAAACAAGCCTCTCAAACTTGTCATCACACTTCATCGGTCGCGGAAGTACATTCAACATTAATTAACGGGAAATAGGGACTAAGGCAAACCATTTCAAAATGACATCATAGAATAAGAGTCAAGCTCGTTTACAAAATACTTGTCCAACTCACACCTCTACATACATAGATAGGACGGGGGCCATGACATATTACCGGCTCCCCTCATAGTTAAAATACAATTGCAAGCTAAAGTCTCAAAACATAGGAGTAAGAAACATAACATAGCCCTCGAATTATTGAGGACTCACCAACAAACTCGGATAAGCGTCGTACTAGCCACGTGAATGGAGAGAAGGATCAAGAGTAGCTCCGGTCCCTACATGGTGACATCATGTAGGCAAAATATGCGTTAGTACTTGGAATGTACTAAGTATGCGGGGTGCAACACAACAATAAACAAGGACACAATCGAAATACAAGAAATAGTTTCATAGGCATTATGAATAACAATATGAGGATGCATGATCAAAGTGAAGTCAAAACATGTTTAAGTAAATCTATACTAATAGTAGATATCATATGTGTATGCATGATCCAACCAATCTATAACCCCAACTTAGGATGGGGGATGCCGTTCACACCCGGACACCCTGGTGGCAAGGTATAAACCCCTCACATGGTTGATGTTGGTCACACCCCAAGCATCCTAGGTGGTGAGATATAAACCTCTCACATGGTTGATGTTGGTCACACCCCAAACATCCTAGGTGGTGAGATATAAACCTCTCACATGGTTGATGTTGGTCACACCCCAAACATCCTAGGTGGTGAGATATAAACCTCTCACATGGTTGTCCGGTTCTTTTCCCCCGGACCGGGCATGGTCATGCAACACTTTATATAGGAAATTCTCATTAGGCTCTAATGCAATCTCACGTATGGAATGAACATATACACAAGCTTAGTTTGTCATCAACACATCTTTGAAGTTCCATACATCTCATAACTCAAGCTTTAAAACATCAATTTATCAATTCTCCATAGTTGGACATTTTGTCAAACACCTTGAAGGCATGTAATGAAATCAAAGAGCATGAAAATTAGGGTAGTAATTATGCAACCAAAACAGTGAACAACCTACAACAACACCTTTACATTCATAACATGATCACATTATCTTCATTGGATTCTCATTCATATAATGTCATGATAACACTCCAATTTCTCATACTATGCCTTTAAGGCCATAAGCCTCACATACCAATACACCAACAATACACCATAAAATAAGCATGGGTAATGACATACTTCAACAATCTAAAGACCTTTAAACAAGTTTGATTCATATACATTCATTATCTAGCAACCACTTCATAAAGGCATAAACTAGGAATAGAGAGAAATCATGGGTTCATGGAGTATTTTCATCTTAAATCGTCAATACAACAACAATATAACCATAAAGTGCCATTAGAAACCTTTTAAAACCATTTGATGGAAGAACCCATGAGATTGAGTGAAAACCTAGATTTTTCATATTTTGAAGTAACTTTGGATTTGGCTCCTTGTATGGAAAATTAGACAAGGATCAAGACCCCCATACCTTTGCTATGATCTCCCACGAAAATTGATGAAGAAAGCCTTGAATCCAAAGCCCTAGCTCCCACTTCTTATTCTTCTTAAATGGAGGATTGTAGAGAGGGAAATGTTTTTTTTTTGGATGGGAATTGGATTATGGTATCTAGGAATTAATATAAGTCCTTTGAAAAAAAGGGTCCAACACTTAGAAAAAAAAACAGGCGGGTGAACAGTAGATGAACAGTAAAATCAGCTACTGGAATTTGGATTTTCTGCCGGACAGACTTTACGAAAATGGGCATAACTTCTTCGTCCGAACTCCGAATAAGGTGAAACGAAGTGCGTTAGATAGCTAACTCAAAGGGCTTTCCATGGATATATTATTGGCCACCAAATAATTTGTGTGCTAGGAGATATGACCCTCCAAAGTAGACCCTCGAAAAAGGCTTCACTTGGAAATTTTGGATTTTGATACGGTTGCTCTAAAATTTGGGTTAGACCCATTTCCCACTCAATTTGACCCCCTAAACAAGAATATGAAGTCGGATTTTCGAAAAACGAAACGGATTTTGAGATATATGGAAATTACAATTATAGGTGTTTCCGAAGCACATTTTCGGGCATTTTTTTGGGGTCGTTTCAATATCTCCCCCTTGGGAACATTCGTCCCCGAATGTGGAAGAGACGTACAAGGCAAGACTTAGTAAGAACATATCAGCCCCAACATGAATGCAAAAATTTTATTTAAACATCACTTCAAGATTTCAAAACTTAGTGTAAAGCATCCATAACTCATCAATTTAAACATATATAGGCTGAAATGTAGGACTCGATGGAGTACAAAGGACTTGATTTAATACCTTAGGCTTGAGTGGATTTGAATAGATAAGGATAACGTCTTTGCATGTCCGCTTCGGCCTCCCAAGTAGCACTCTCCACTTGTTGATTTCTCCAAAGCACCTTAACGGACGCCACTTCTTTGTTCCTCAACCTTTTAACTTGTCTATCTAAGATCTGAACCGGAACTTCTTCATACGTCAAATTATCTTCTACAACACCCACAACCTCAAGAGGTACAATAGCGTTAGGATCACCAACACATTTCCTCAACATCGATACATGGAATACCGGATGAACTAATTCCATCTCCTTGGGCAACCCCAACTCATAGGCTACTTTACCAACCCTTTTTATTATCTCATAAGGACCGACATACCTAGGACTTAATTTCCCCTTCTTACCAAAACGAACCACACCTTTCATTGGAGAAACCTTCAAATAAACCCAATCACCCACTTTGAATTCAAGATCCCGTCTCCTCACATCGGCATAAGACCTTTGACGACTTTGGGCTGTTTTCAACCTCTCCCTAATCATCCTTACCTTCTCAAGAGCATCCATGACCAGATCCGGACCCAACAAGGCCACCTCTCCGACTTCAAACCACCCAACCGGTGACCTACACCGTCTACCATAAAGTGCCTCAAAAGGAGCCATACCGATACTAGAATGATAACTATTGTTGTATGCAAATTCAATCAAAGGAAGATGATCATCCCAACTACCTTTCAACTCCAATACACAAGCTCTAAGCATATCCTCCAAGGTTTGAATTGTTCTTTCGGCTTGGCCATCCGTTTGAGGGTGGAAGGCCGTGCTAAGCTTTACCTTTGTACCAAGACCCCTTTGGAATGACTTCCAAAAGTGAGAAGTGAATTGGGCACCACGATCCGAGATGATAGACAAAGGAATCCCATGCAACCTTACCAATTCATGAATGTACAACTTGGCATACTCTTCAGCCCCGTAAGTAGTTTTAACCGGTAGGAAATGAGCCGACTTTGTCATCCGATCAACCACCACCCAAACCGAATCAAAGCCTCTTCTAGCCTTGGGTAAGCCCACTACAAAATCCATGTTGATTTCTTCCCACTTCCAAGTAGGTATCTCAATGTCTTGAGTTAGGCCACCCGGCCTTTGATGTTCAGCCTTGACTTGTTGACAACTATGGCAACCCGAAACAAATTTTGCAATGTCCTTCTTCATACCGCCCCACCAATACACATCCCTCAAGTCTCTATACATCTTTGTTGACCCCGGATGAATAGAATAAGAAGAATTATGAGCCTCATCAAGGATTCTTTCCCTCACACCATCCACACAAGGAACACATAATCTACATTGGTACCTAAGGGCACCATCTCCCCCTTGGGAGAAAACCTCCACCTTACCACTACTCACCGAAGCCTTTAATTCTACCAAAGAAGGATCAAGATCTTGCTTGACTATCACCTCATCAACCAAGGAAGATCTTGAACCATCAACAACAACTACTCCTCCACTATCCACCCCTTCTAACCTAACTCCCAATTTGGCCAACCGATGGACCTCCTTAGCCAACTCTTTACTACCTTCCTCCACATGAGCCAAGCTACCCATGGACACTCTACTCAATGCATCCGCCACCACATTAGCTTTCCCCGGATGATAGTGAACACTCATATCATAATCCTTAAGGAATTCTAACCACCTCATTTGTCTCAAGTTAAGATCTTTTTGTGTGAACACATATTGGAGACTCTTATGGTCGGTGAAGATATCAACATGCACCCCATACAAATAATGACGCCAAATCTTTAAAGCAAAAACCACGGCGGCCAATTCAAGATCATGGGTTGGGTAATTTTTTTCATGAAC